CTCAAGGAGAGAAAAGAAAAGAAATTCATAGAATTCACAGGAGATATTACTTGATACAATGAGAAGTTTTCAACTGTATTCCAGTTTATGAATATCCCACACATTGCACCATTTGACTTCTTAAATAGTCAGTTTTATCTGTAGTTATATATCTTCCAACTAACTCTGTAATTGTCCACTCTTCAGAGGTATTTATGGAAAACTGTAGCTATAGTGTGCAGCTAAACTGTGTTTAAGAGTTTTCCATCAAAAATATCAAATGGCAAATGTGTTCGGGTGTAAAATTACTTTCCTCACAGATCATACAGTCTAACTACTAAAGTCATTTTGAAGGGAGCAAAATCACTCTCTAGAGATATGAATGGTTTTCAGGAAAAAATGAAATTAGGATTTTTATATTGACCTAGCAGAGTTTGAAAGTCCCCAAAAGAGAGAGAGAATGGGTGGGGGCTTCCAAGAGCAGGGGTGGGGGAGAGAGGGTCAGAGCATGTCAAGAAACAATAAGAAGAGGTCCAGTACAGTCAGGCTGCAAGTGCCAACTAAGGAATCAGGACTTTAGTTTGTATCTAGTAGTGTTGGTCCAAACTGTCAAAGGAAGGAGCTGGGGATTTAGCTCAGCGGCACAGCGCCTGCCTTGCAAGCACAAGGTCGTGAGTTCAATTCCCGGTACTGGAAAAAAAAAAAACCAAAATGTCAAAGGAAGAAAAATAAAATGTTTGGGGGAGACTAATTCAGTAATAATTTTCAGGAAAACAAATTTAAAGGATACTAAAGGATGTTCAATTAAAAGGTAATAAACTTAAATTCATAAAAAGAAGCATTATGAAATATAAAGTAGCCAATTTAGTTTCTAATTGTTCATACAGCTCTCAGATTTTGTGAGCGTGTAACCAGAAAGTAATATGACCATTTCAGAAATGAAAAAGAGTTCAACAGGAATTCAAGACCACTCGTAGCTTGGAAGGGGTTTGCTTCACATGCCCAGGGAAAATGGAGGTATACGATCTCACTTTTTCCCATTGTTGTTATTGTTATTATCCTTGTGATCATGGGGGTGGAAATTCATTAAGTCTGAGATGTAACATGTCATTAACTTTAATTTAATATGGCTCCAACCTTTCAGGCCTGGAAAGCCTTTGCTAGGATCAGAGGGGAATCGAAATGGGGAAAGGATGAGGAGAAATGACACCAAATCCTGATAAGAGATTTCATAAAGTGAATAATAGTGACAGCAGAGGTTGTGGAAGAAGGCCTGGGGCCACCCCCGAGGTCTAGCAGAGAGCCGATGCCATCTCTTTATCTTGTATCTCAGTTTTGTCAAGGTACAGAAAAATGACTACCACTAAAGCGATTAGCAGGAAAATTAAGTCTTATTTATAATGACTGATGGAACTTCCTATCACGTAAACATTTCCCAGTTAAATGAGTCATCACAAAACTTCTTGATAAACATGGCCTTGCAGCAAAGAAATACTTCATCTGGTTCAAGTAAAGGCTAAGGTGACATCCCTGCATTACATTCAAATTCTGTCTCTTCTTATTACAATATTCAGGTCCACCACTTTGTCTCTCCTCTGGGTAGGAGGAGAGGCATTCATCAGAACTTGCCCCTTATTTCTTTAATTACCTTTGTCACATACTAGTTTTATGGTCCCCAGATGCCACCCCTGTCTGTGGAACACCAGGGGAGCTTGTTGAAATTAGAGCCAGGAGCCTCCCCTTCAGAGACTCTGACTCGGTTTGTCTACAGTAAAGTCAAGGAACCCACAGCAATTGCAACCACCCTGATCCCCAGGGGTTCAGGGCGGTCTGAGTGACTTTGCCCCAATGTGACTTGGCAGGCAGGTAAGGCTGTCCACCTCCACACCTACTTTAGCACACGCAGCTCTACAGGTGCCTGTTTTATTTGTTTACTATTCTGCCAAAGATTTGTTTGAACACTGATTTTTCAGTTCCTTGACAACAGTTGGTCAATTGTTTATCTAAGATAAACTTGACTTTTTGATGAACCCTGTTTTTCTTCAACAAGGTCAAAACATATTTATTTCCAAGCCCACCATTAAATCATAACCACATGTGTTCAGTCCTCTATTATTTATTGATCATCACCTAGGCGCCTGGCACTATGCTAAGTACTGTGGAGAACAAGAAAGATAAGATTCCTGTAGTTATGTTGTAGTGTATTGGAAGCAGACAGAAATAAATGAAATATGTAAAATCATTTCACAATGTGATTAGTGCTGTGAGGAAAGCCAACAGGGCCCTCTGGCAGAGAATCTTGGGGAATATAGCTTAGAGAAAGCCTTCTAAGCTAAAGGATGAGAAACCAGTTGTTCTGGCTACTAATAGCCTCCTTGATGGTGTAGTGAAAGTGGTCAGAGTATTGCAAAACAGGAAATAACAGTGAACTGGAAGGTGAAGCGATGGTGGACTGAGAGATGGTGAAGGTGGAACAGGCCCTGTCAATACAAAGTGAAGTGGAGAACTCTTCTGTTAAAGGCCAGGTGGCCAGAGAAGAGAGATGAGTGGATGTCAGTCACTGTATATAGTAACAAGAACCCGAATGAAGAACCCAAGCCTCAGTTAGAAGCCAGAGTCTTCAGTGCATGGAGGAAAGGGACCAGGCCAAAGAGGCAGCAGGGTGACAGACAGCAGGACACACGCATCTCACAGAAGCAGGAGGTTTTGCTGAGAAATGTCCCAAAAGCAGGGTAGGCTGCAAAGAAATAGCTGACTACCTTCTGGCTTAAGGAGGGACAAATGCTTCCAGGAAGTAAAATTTCATCTACTTAAGAAAGTGCAGGAGGGGCTGGGAATTTAGCTCAGCGGCACAGTGCCTGCCTGGCAAGCGCAAGGTCATGAGTTCAATTGCCGGTACAGGAAACCCCCGTCCCAAAAAAAAGAAAGTGCAGGGGAAGTAGAGCGGAACATGCGGGATGGAGGAAGTTATGGGAAACAAACATTCCAGAAATCTCTAAAGATTAAAGGGGAATTTGATGACTAGAGAGCAGAAGGTCCACAGGGCACAGTTGGAAGGCTAACTGTGTTTTTCTTTCTGTTTGTTGAGCAGAGGGGAGAACCGATGAGGGGTATGTACAGAGACACACAAATTACAGTGGAGATAATAATGGATAACTTGGCGAATCTTGCAATTCAGTAGGTCACTGGGATAAAGTAGCATTGCTGCTACTACTAAAACAACAATAGAGCAGTTGTCATGTACAATGGTGACAGAAAAAGAAGTAGAAATAGAAATACCATGGCAGTGTTATTCCAGGCCTGTGCTAAGTACCCCCTATAATACCTACCAATACCCTATGACTTTTCAAACTTACCATCAAGTTGTATATTATTGGTGACAACTTTATGGATTATAAATCAGTGATAAGAAGGAATGAGGACTTTAACATGCTGGAAATCCCTGCAGACAGCAGCAAACAAATGGTTTCAAAGTTGAGACCCCAGATAGATGATTCAACGGTATAAAACATTGGAGGAAGCTGTTTCATAGGGTGATACAAGTTGCTATGTGGTGTTCTGGGGTCAGTCGTAGGATCTTCTTACACTAGGAAGAATCGGCCCCTTAAAACTCAGCTCAAGAAAAATGATTCCTCTAAGTGGCTCCGTCCATGAGTTTATTCCTCTGCTTTTTCATTTAGTTAACTAGAAAATTCCACCATCCTTGAAGAGTTCATGCTATTAATTCACTCATTCAACAAAATTTGAGAGCAACTCTTATCAACTACAGACCATTCTAGGCACTGGAGATATAAATTGTAGATATAGAACTTTTCTCACCACATCCTCTATCTTTAGGCTGGTGGCACCATGTGTTACCCTCAGCATGTATCATTTATTTGTTTATTTTTCAGTAACTTGCAGAAAACCCTGTGCATTGATTTCCAGTCTAATCTTCTCCACTACTGTGCTAAGTTTAAATGAGATCATCTTACTTCTGTGCTCAGAGCTCTCCAAATGCTCCTTATTTACCCAGAGTAAAACACAAAACTTTTTATCAAGCAATTTTGTTCCTATCAGAGAATATCACTTTGCAAGTCCCAGTGTCTTTCTTCATTCAACCATAAGAGTCATAGGAAGAATGGATGTGGTCAGATGAAGAGTGTATATGAAGTGGGCTGACTCATCCTTCCAGCAAGAGAACCTTTCTATTTATGGTGGGGTTTTACATAGCAGAACATCCATTAGACTTACATTGGATTCTCTCATTATTCTCTTGGGAGAGAAGAAAGGTCTCATATATGAACAAAATTCTATGATATTATGTCTACACTTCATAAACTACTGTGATAAATGACTTTAGAAAAGTAAAACATTTCCCAAGGGGAAAAATATATCACTTTTTACAGATACTTAGAAAACTGAACTGATCGTTGGGATTTGATAATTAGTCTTACTGCAGTTTTTTTTTAAGTTGTAATTTATGACTTTGACCTATTCTATACATTAAACCTATTCTATACAAAATAAGAAACATTTCAGTCCAACTGCATTTCTTATCACACTCTGGTGCACTAACTAAATCAGTGCTTGAAGTAACACCTTCACTAATACCTCAAGAATCACTGACACGGGGCTGGGGATTTAGCTCAGTAGCACAGTGCCTGCCTGACAAGCATGAGGTCATGAGTTCAGTTCCAGGTACTGGAAAAAAAGAAAAAAATTTAAATAAAAAAAAAAAAAGAATCGCTGACATATGGAATTGGTTACATTTCATCACACTGCAGGCAATGTCAGGGTGAAAATCCAGGGCTCTTTCCTCCCTATCCTGTGGATACCATATTTGATTTTCCATTATTATGTCTTCTGTGAAGATGCTTACTACAAAATTATATTCAACATGCCTTGCTAAACTGTTTCTGGCAGCTTATACAAAGTATGGTATCCTCGGTAGTATTTTTAAACAAGTATGTTAAGTTTCTTATCTACAATATCCACATTTGTGAATTTGCTTCCAACGTTTCTCCTTTCTATTTTAACAGAATGCCAAGTTTCACATGCCTGAGGTTCTGAAGGAAAAAAAGGAAAATATCCTCGACTCTGACAGACCTACTAGGGACTTAACAAAGATCAGCCTTTCACAAGCAGGGGATCAAGCTTTGAGTAAGATCACAGGGTCGTTGACAAGTAAGCTGGTTGAACAATATCAAGGAACTAAGATTCTTTCTATGAAGTCCAGCGAAATGGATTGGCCACTGGACATTCGGCCTTTAAACAAAAGTTTAGTCCAAGACAACAAATGGAGAAACACCGATGAAACCCAAGAGAAACGTAGGTCCTTCCTTCAGGAGTTTTGCAGGAAATATGGGGCAGTGAGCCATCGTCAGTCACACCTTTTTCATGTGGTGTCCAGGATCTATGTAGAAGATAAACACAAAATCTTATACTGTGAAGTGCCGAAGGCTGGGTGTTCCAACTGGAAAAGGATTCTGATGGTACTAAATGGGCTGGCTTCCTCTGCATACAACATCTCCCACGATACTGTCCACTATGGAAAGCATTTGAAAAAGCTAGATAGCTTTGACTTAAAAGGAATATATACTCGCTTAAATACCTACACAAAAGCTGTATTTGTTCGTGATCCCATGGAAAGATTAGTGTCAGCCTTTCGGGATAAATTTGAGCACCCCAATAGCTATTACCACCCAGTATTTGGAAAAGCAATTATAAAGAAATATCGACCAAATGCCTGTGAAGAAGCATTAAATAATGGATCTGGAGTCAAATTCAAAGAGTTCATCCACTATTTGCTGGATTCTCACCGTCCCGTTGGAATGGATATTCACTGGGAAAAGGTCAGCAAACTCTGCTATCCATGTTTGATCAACTATGATTTTGTAGGGAAATTTGAAACTTTGGAAGAAGATGCCAATTACTTTCTACAGATGATTGGTGCTCCAAAAGAGTTGAAATTCCCAAATTTTAAGGATAGGCACTCTTCTGATAAAAGAACCAATGATCAAGTGGTGAGACAGTATTTAAAGGATCTGAGCAGAACCGAGAGACAGTTAATCTATGACTTTTATTACTTGGACTATTTGATGTTCAATTATACAACTCCATTTTTGTAGTCTGCATTCATTTTCTAAAACCTGCATTTACTTAATAATGCTGGCCTCAAATCTGCTACTGTACTTTTCCTATAATTCTCTGTAGGAGGCAAATTTAACTAAGTGCAGTTGTCTTGATTTAATGACGGGTTTTACCAAATACCATGACAGCAGTTGGCACAAAGTTATAGGAAAATCACCTATCGGACACATGTAAACAACTTGAGCTGCTTTTAAATGTTTGGAAAGGAGCTGCTTTGGCATTATGGATCATATTGTTGGAGCAAAACCTAGCCAGCTGCTACATTAACTAAAACAGCCTTTTGTAATCATGGAATAAGAGGTCTAAAGGAGCATGAATGTGTATCTATACTCTGCAATTACCTGAAATGCATGAATATATTTTGAGCAGTTTGTAGAATACTCATCAAATCATTGGATAGTTTTGTTACACCCTGGAAGTCTTTCTATCAACTATAATGATAAATCCATTTTGAAATGATATTTGGATGTGGGCATTTTCCATTAAGTTGGAAGGCATTATGTGATTTAGAATATGAGAATGTAGCAGAAAAGCAAGAAGAGGCTATGACTTTTTATATTTAACATCCAATAAAAAATACACAGCATGCTAAGATCAAAGCAGCAAAAGCAACCTTTTTCTGTCAGAAGGCCTTAAAGGAATTGATTCTGTTTTCTTTTGAGCCCTCCTTGAAGAGACAAAATGAACACAACCACCGAAGTTCTTCATTTCTGAAGCAGGCAGTTGAGAGGTTTAAGCCTCCTAAATGTGCTCCTAATTCTGGTTTAATTGGACAGAGGGGAAATTGTTTCAGGATGGGATAATCATCAAAAACAAAAGTTGCCATTCTGAATATAGACCTCTAACAATAACAAAGTTTTATAAGAAAGTTATTTGAATCAAAGCATAATATGCATAGCTTTATATGTGGGATACACTCTAAGAATAGCTTTTGTTTGCAGTCTAATTATTCAGCTTGGGAATGACTTTTTAAAAACTAATATACCACTTCAAAGATAGGTTATGTTCTAGAGAATAAACATAACAAGAGCCCCTAGAAATGTTTTTAATAGGCTTATGCATAAGCAAATTAAGGTATTTTCTTTTTAAGTTTAAATATTCTATACTAACAAAGTCAAGACTCATTGCATTCAAATATTAAATCAGTCTTTGGAAAATAAGACCATGTGTCACCCCATAAAAAGTTGTAATGCATTTTGGAAGTTTTTTCCAGGAGAGCCTAAACTGAAAGACACATTTAGATGGGAAATTTGTTTTAATTGCTCAACTATTACCCTAGCTTAGTAAACCACATGTCAGTCAAACCTGGTTTAAATGCCTTTCTTTAACATTTTCCTCTTCCTAAGTTATCACATTTTATCTGTAAATATTAAGTAACATTTCTCAAAGAAAAGTAGGTATTAATATTTGCATATTAATAAAGCAAGATTTTTATAGTCATACTTATTTCACTTTGATTTTCCATTTCATGGCTGAGTATTTATGAACTGCTTCACTCTACACATTCCTGCCGGTCTCCTCTGTGCCTCCTAAGGAGTCTGAGTGATCACAAGAACTAATTCTTGTAAACCAACTCTTTACTATATTTCTGCTCCGTTTGCTTTTTCCCCTAGACTGCACACGTAAGTTATGTTTTACTTTAGAGTAACCTGATTTACATAAATTAATAATTTGCCACATTATGTGGAGTGGACGCCTAGCAACTTAGAGACACTTTGTGGAGAGAGAATATAAAATATCCTATGCAACCTGAAATTTTATTCCTAAACACAAAGCTCGTTTCAGATAGAATCTGCTACAAAGGGGAAGGACAGTTTTATCAAAGGTATTCCTAAAATCATGAAGCATAAAACAAACAAAGCATAAACCTTCCTTTTGATACTGTTGGAAAGAAAAAATGGAAACAAAGGTCCTGTCTCATTAATATTTTAATGCATTAGGAAGGGTGGGATATAGACTGGATAGATAGATAGATAGATAGATAGATAGATAGATAGATGATAGATAGATGACAGATACATGATAGATAGACAGACAGATAACTTTGACAATGGAAGGGTAAAAGTTATGCCAATGCTTCCTCTTCCATAGCTATCGTATTCCTTTTAGTTCCCCCTTATCTGTGGTTTCACTCTCCAGTTTCTCTTACCGATGGCAAACCACGTCTGCAAAGATTAAATGGAAAAATCTAGAAATAAATAACTCATAGTTTTTCAACTGTGCACACCCCTGAGTAGGAAAATCTCTCACCTACCCACCTCACCTCACCTGAAACATGAATCACCCCTTTGTCCAATGTGTTCACTCCATATATGCCCCCTGCCCACTGTTCATCTAGTAGCCATTCAAGCTACCAGATTGACTTTCACAGTAACCCAGTGCTTCCGTTGTAGTAACTTTTATGTAGTAGCCTAAGGCTACATCAGTGCCTGTATCCACTTATGGCAGGTCATCTCACGTAGGCAGTGTCATCTCATATCACTAGTGCGTCCAGTACTGTAAGGTACTTTGAAAGAAAGGCCACATTCACATAATTCTTACTATAATGCTTTGTCATAACTGTTACATTTTATTTTTCATTATTATTGTTCATTTCTTACCATGCCTACTCTATAAACTTTATCATAGGAATGTATGTATGTGTGTATGTATAGGAAAAAGCAGTCTATATAGTTAGGTACCATCCATGGTTTCCTCCATCAGCTGTGAAACTTGTAACATACCTCCTATAAATCATGCGATAACTCTATATGTTTCTTTTCTGACCCTTTCAATTGAGTCTATGTAACTACGGATGGTCTTTCATGCATCCTTTTCCTACACAGATTCTTTGAAGCTGACTGACAGTCCTGCTTGTGTGTTCCAGAAAGTAGGTGTGTCTTGCCAAAGAACAAACTGCTCACGTACTTGCTTTTCATTGTAGGTGACTTCTTTTTATATTGCTCCCAGAGACGCCAGTCATCGTCTTAGATTTCTTGGGATGTGAAATCCCCTGGACTGTTCTGCTTTGTAGCCAGTTCACATTTGCCTGTACATAAATGCAGCTGGAGGACTATCACTGTTCCTTTGGACACCACACTTTCAGGAACTTAGTTTCTAAAGGCAACTGACCAAATGCAGGCTCATCTTCCAGATGTTCAGTGTTCCCATTTCAGCATTAGCATGTTTAGGTGTGATTATACATCCTCTAATTAAACCCGAAGGATCCTATTTATTTTTATAGGCAGCAGTAACACTATGTGCAGGCCCTTCATTTTGTTATTTCCCTGTCTGGAATTACCATTAAGGTAACAAGTTCCCAATTAAATCCAGAACCACAGTTATTTAATCTGGCAAGCTATGGATATGCATTACTAATGTGACTGCACCCAGAAACTGTCAAAAATTTCAATAGATGTGTATGAATAGGATCCCCAATTTTCTTATTTCCGTATATGTTTGGAAAGATTTATTAAGTCAACAGAATTGTGAGATCACATGCTGTATTCTCTGGCTTTCTAATCTATAAAATATTTTCTAGCAATTCTAGAACTGCTGGGCTGCCCTTTACAGTTGGAAGGAGAAAAATACTCTTATACTTTACTCATGAGTAATTATTCCTCTGAAAGGCATTATTTACTAAAATATATAGTGTCTTAACCACATTCCTCATCACTAGGACAAAATACCCAACCCTGGAACTTAGAGACAGGTATATTTCACCCCATGTTTCAGTCTGTAGTCACGTGGCTCCAAGGCAGGACAGCATGGCAGAGGGGCAGGGCAGAGGAAAAGCAGCTCATGTCATGCCAGTGAGGAAGCAGAGAAGGTTAAGGGAGGAGCCAGAAAAGGAGACAGACCCTTCTATGACCTTGCCCACAGTGACCCACTCTTCCAAGCAGGTCGTGCTGCCAAATAGGTCAGCTATATACACCCCTCATAACCAGTTACCTATAAGCTTGCCTATGAGCACATGAGGCCTTAGGGAACCATGTAGCTCTAAACCGTATTAGAGGAACATATCTCAGATAAGTTTGAGTATTAGAGTTCCCTTTGAAAAGATCTCCCACTAAGTTAGCAAATTTTGGATTAGCAGGCTGGGACCACAGTAAACATCCCCCTGCTGGGAGTTCTCCTTTGGCCTTTGGGCCTCTTCATCCTCTAAGCCTTCATGGGAGATGAAGAGGCAGAACCTCTGCTTATGGCTGACACCCCCAGGGTGTTCTCACATTTGAAGAAAGATTGGCCAAAGGTGTTCAGTAATCCCACAACCACCTGAGAACTTTAGACCAGTTAACTCAGCCTAATCTTACCTTTAGGACCATTTTTTCTCAATCTCAATCATAATCACTTTAATTATACTCCTAACATAGTTCACATCTATTCAGTACTTAATGTGTATCATGTACTCTTTAAGAACTTTCTATGCCTTAACCTACTTAATATCCATACCCCATCTAACTGAAATGCAGCCCCCTCCATTCCCAAATGTAATAAATGAAATTAAAATAAAGCATAACTGTGTAACTTGACAAAAGAGGCACAGTTGATAAATACATAGGGAGTGAGATGAAATCAAGCAGCAAATACCACTACCAAATTATTTTCTCAAAATGCTATAAATTTGAGGGCTAGGGGTTTAGCTCACCGGCACAGCACCTACTGGGCAAGTGTAAGGTTGAGTTTGATTCCCTGTACCAAAAATTAAAAAATTTTAAAAGTGCTATAAATTTTAATATTTATATTTCCTTTCTCTTACCAATATTCAGAACAGCTAAAGGTGAAAACTACACATTGCAATCTCAATTTTTATACATGTATAAATGTGTGTATGTGGCTGGTTATTACACTTAAAATCAGTCTTATCCTTTTATTCCCACTGAGTTAAACTGGCACATTCAAAGATTTTTGAAGAAGTTAGCCTTCCTCCCTCTCTTAGCCTCTGCTGATTATGAGACACAGTATTTTTAAAGAGAAGTAAAGAATCCTCAAACAAATTTACCCTAACAAAAACAAAATATCATTTTCACAAGAAATTCCAGACAAAAGTAGTCAAGGTCGAAAGGAGTCAGGTAAGGGAGAGCAAAGCCAGGAGCTTTCCCCTTGTGAGCACTGGGCAGTCCCTGGTGATGGTCAGGGATCAGGAGCTGAGTTGCAGAGAAACCTGCAGGACTGCTGTGGGGAACTGACCAATTGTCCACCATCTCTTTTTCCTAAATGCTCATCCCCAGAGACAGAGTAGTAGTCAGATAAGCCTAAGCTGACTTGGGACTGGAATAGAGAGGATGTTGACTCTAACCAACTGGAAACAACATGAAGAGGGGTCAAGATAAATAGGCATGGGGGAGGGACTTTTCCTAAACTTGGAGGACACAATGCCTGAGGAAGGCCAAGTCGAAGGGCTTCAGCAGGGTATGGCCCCACATCATGCATTTCTGAAAATGCTTAGCCCTCCCATCTCAATCCTTCCTCAAGAGCATATCCTTCCATGCAAGTGTATTCAAATCCATCTACGCTGTCATCTTTTTTCATCTGTAAGCTTCTATCTCAGGACTTACATTGCATATGGAACTCTCTCTTTTTTCTGTATATCTGAACAGTTCTCATATTCTCTCACTGAAGAATCTCTTCAGATTTTTCAGTTCTGAAATCTCATTTCTTCTCGAGCAATTTGATGAAAGGGAAAAGAAGCTAATTTTCCCTTCATATGACATATGTCAGACTCTTATAAATAAATACATACATACATACATACAGGCAGGCATGTCTTCCTCTACCTTTTTTTTTTTTGCACTTTGTCCCACAACCCACAAATATATAAACTTTCCATTATTTTCAGAGTACACTTTCAATCTCCCAAGAGGACCAGGACTGTGCCTCTGATTCACTTTGTATGTGTCCAGGAGAGCATGGTACAGAGAGCTACTTCAACGAGTGCCTGTGAGACTGAAATTAAAGATTCCTTTCTCCAGAGATATTTCTACCTTATTGTTTTCAGGCTTTTATAGGACCAGTGGATCTAAAGAGAAGACACAAGCCAGGGTAAATAAGGGGAGAAATCTTAGTCACACACCTGTTCTACACTAATAGGCACACCTTAGGCTGAAGGATAGTTTTGAACATAGAAATATTTTTATTGTTCTAAAATGATATATTTTCTTAGTTTTGGAAGAAAATGTTTAAAAACTACAGGATTCTGGTCAATATAAGAGCTATTTGCCATTTACTGGTAAGGTAGCAGACACTGGGAAAGTTCTTCATAAATATCCACTTAATTACATGAGAAGCATGCCTAATGCTTTGTGAAGAAGGAGGAGGATAAGAAGAGGAAGAAGAAGAACAAGAAGAAGGGTAAGAGGAAAAGAAGAAGAGGAAGAGAAGGTGGCTAGAGGAGAAGAAAGAGAAGGAGGAAGAGGAAAGGAGAGGGTGAAGGGAAAGAAGGATCCGGAGAAGAGGAAGAG